ATCTCATACTTTTAAAATCAAACAAAGACTCGATTCTTGTTATTAGTGCTCAAAATCATATACTGACCGGAAAATGGATGGATTCCGGATTTTATGGCACAAAATATTTCTTTCGTTATTCAAGTAATTTCTATACAATTGTTTTTCAATGCATTTCTCTCTGAAAGTTATACATAACTCATATTATATGCGATTCTTTATTACGAAAACTATTTTACTTATACTTATTATATAATTTATATTTCATATTAATATCAAGTCATTTAATGTGTCGTTTGGCGACAGAGGACTTGTTTGTATGTGTTATATAATATACGCTACAGTTCTGTATGAATGTCATTGAGAGTACAATATAATAATATACATTTTCAAAGCCCATAATAGAGTGTATATTATTGAAAGTATAGACTATTTGTACCAGAGAGAGAGAGAGAGAGAGAGAGAGAGAGAGACGAGTGAATCTTTTCACTATGATAAAAATATGCTCTCTCTCTCAAGAATGCGATTCCCTTTTATGGCTGTCTATTAGTGAAGAAGTCTTGCGCCACAACTATAACTATATTGTGGACCAAAACTTTTCTTTTTATTTGAAGCCATGAATTGTATGGACTTATAATAAGTCGTGTCTTTTATGTCCGAATCGGTCTCTTCTGTTCGCTTCTCTCGTCCAATCCTTATATTTCTTTATTTAATGCAATTCTCTGTATTTGATTAGAAAATAGAGAGAAATTATTTGCAAACGAAATACAAAATTACTTTTATATATACTCTATGTATAGATATTGTCGTTCAATGAGATGAAAGGGGAGATCCAAAGATGTAGTTTTGCTTTCGCTTTAATTAACTTTTCAAATAAGAGAATAAATCCTTTTTCTCTTGATTTTAATTTATTACTAAATCAATAGCTAAGCCTTAATCACAATTATTTGGCACCAAATTTGTCAAATTGTAGCGTAAATTATAACAATATTAAATGTCATGTGATATCCAATTGCAGTCTTAAACGACTAGAAAGACTTGAGTACAACTATGCATAGTACAAATAAATGACATTGGTTCTTTATATCGATTTATGGTCGACCAAAGATGGTAAATATTGATAGTATTTTTATGCAAAAAACAAAATTTTTATTTTATATAACCAATCACTTGATTCATATCCACTCCAATGTTATGACTTTTTCTTACTTTTCTGGTTAGAAGTGTTTATATATTTTAGTGCTATTTTCTTGCTGTAAATATTCATAAGATTAATGGTATTCTCCGTACAATTTTCGTGATTGGAGTAAACTTTTAAAGTTTTTTTTATAATGGATTTGTTGTTTTTCATTGTTATTTAAAAATATATTTTCTCATTCATTCAGAAATCCATTGAAACGTTTAGCTCTTAATTAATAGAAAGAGTCTATTATTGGCACAAATTTTATTATAAATCATATTAAAAACGGTAAAATGTATTAACAATTTGAGTACTCGAAGAGAATGAGAGGATTTTCTTTTCAAATCCACAATACAATAGTGAAGACATATAAGTAATCAAAGAATGATGTTTTTGGATCCATAGCTTAAGTGCTGTATTCATGCCATTAATTGAAAAGACAAAACAAAAACGACTTCAAACAAAAACCTGCTCTCGTTTTGAATGTCTGTCTATCTCTTGGAAATTCAATTCTGAATAATATTTGTTCGCTTGAGTTAACACTGGATTTGAAAAAGTTAGGACTGAATCAAACTTATTGATCAAAATGATGTACACATTTCGGGATTGTGTGTTGTCTTTGCTCTCAACACATATACCATACCATACATACCAGACACACATTTTATCGTTGTATTCATAGAGTGAGAGAGATATATATAACGACTATTACTATAACTCTGTGTGAGAGTAATATCCATAGGATAGCAGAATCCACTCCTAAAACATTAAGCATTTTAT